AGTATAATTGGTGACTCTCTTGGTGTTAGTGCTGATGAATATTTTAGAGATGAACCAAAGATAGGGAAATGCTCTGATCCAGAAGGTTATCTGTATTTTGGAAGCTGAGCATCATGCAACCCAGTTTATACTGTTTTAATCAAAAGCCCATAAAATCCCCTATAGGAGCACCTTTAAATCCACTAAAACAGCCAGTTGCCTAAGGGCTGGGAGAGTGCAGTAGTAAATAATGAGTTGGATTTATTTCTACTTATCCATGTGCTGAATACAGGAAATTAAAGTCAATCTAGATGGATCCCAAGATGCAAGAAAGCAAATGTGGATTGTTCTTTGATGTCCTTTTAAGTAATGCCAACTTACGTATAAGATAAAGAAATCAACTGCACTCTCTATTTCAGTAAATTATTTTAGCTTAAAGCTTAACAACAAACTGAAGATGTTTTGGATTAATTTCCCACATGTAGATGACATGATCAAAATCACAAAACTACATCTGATTTACTTTGGCCATGCCATGAGTGCAAATTCATTGGAGAAGTCAATTGTCAAACTCGCAAGTGAAGTTAGCTGAGCCCATCTTGGAGGCTTCAGGGTTGCCACAAAGCAGAAGAAGGGGAGGAAAGGAGGGGGGAAATAGTTAGATGGGGTTTTGTAGCCAAAAAAAGGAAGTTTTTCTGTCGGAACCAAGGACATTCCGACAGGTGGCTGTCCAGGGGAGGAGTGAAGTAACCAAGCAACTGGCCAACACCTTGATTTGACAGTGTGACCAGTGACTTGGGGAAAAGGGGAAACGTTTACTTTTTAATTCGGTGAAAGCCATTAGAACTTTCAGAGTTGACTTTCACCAGTTGTGCCAATATGATGTATCCAATAAACTGTTCTTGGAGGAATCTGCCTGCCTCAGATTTCTGCTTTCTATGGGTATGTTACTTGGAAGGTTGACATCAATGATGCTAGGGGAACAAGAAGAAGGAGCAAGCAAAGCAGACATTGGCTTGATAATATCGAAACTGATACAAAGATGAACATCCAACAACCGAAAGAAGCTGCTTAAGAGGGTAGGATGAAGAGCACTTGCCTATAAAAGTCATCAAGAGCAGGACACGACAAAATGGTTAAAATAAGAAAAGTAGATTGAACATTAGAGGAGTTGCCAAACAATCTTAAGAGAAGAATCAAGTTAAATGAACTAACCTTGTTTAGAGATAATTTAGAATCTTTAGGTATTAATTTAACTGTGATTAACTACAGGTTGTCCGCAATGAGCCCAAAATTTCTGTTGCTAAGTGAAACATTTATTAAGTGAGTTTTTCCCCATTTTATAACTTTTCTTGCCACAGTTCAGTGAATCACTGTAGTTGGTAAATTAGTAACACAGTTGTTAAGTGAAAGTAGTTTCCCCATTGATTTTTCTTCTTAGAAGGTCGCAAAAGGTGATTACCTGGACTCCTGCAACCGTCACAAATATGAACCAATTGCCAAGCATCTGAATTTTGATCATGTGACCATGGGGATGCCACAATTGTTGTAAGTGTGAAAAATTGTCATAAGTCACTTTTTTTTAGTGACATAGCTTTGAACGGTCATTAAATGAACTGTTGTAAGTCGAGGACCATCTTTATTCAATGTGACTGAATTGATAAAAAATAGTACCAGCTACATAACACATGTAATCCACTAGTCCCGTGATGGCAGTGGTAGGTTTCAAAACTTTTTAGAACCTATTCTGTAGGTGTGGCTTGCTTTGTGGGAATGGTTTACCAGCCATGTGACCAAGTGGGAGTGGCTTGCCAGACATGTGACTGGGTGGGCGTGGTCACTTGTAAAATGTGGTGAAACTCACTTAACAACACTCTTGCTTAGCAATCAAAATGTTGGCTCAGAAATTCTGGCATTGAAGTGTGCAAGTCTTAAAGCTGTCAAGTTACAAGACCCTTGTACCCCTAACCCTTTAGATAAAACCCTCAGGGGTGTTCAAACTTGATAGCTTTAAGACTTGTGGACTTCAACTCCCAGAATTCCTCCTCTTGCTCTTCACCTTGATGATGTGTGGACGGGCGGGGGAAGGGAGCTGGAACTGGTTCTAACCGGCACTATAGATTTGTGGAACCTCTTCTATAGAAGAGGTT